CAGCAGGCTAAAGAAGCTTCTAAATCGCCGAGAAGGATCCATCTGTTTACTAAGGCCCGGTTTAAAATGGGCCTATAAAGGCCCATTGAAGCCCACCGATGGACATAGTCTCCACCGTTCGTGTTGTTCACGCGCTTGGGGTTAGTGAGAGTGGTCGCGTGATTTATCCATTCTTCTTCCGAACTTCTCTCTTAGTCTCCTGGGATCTCCTTCTAATTGGCCAACACAAAAATAAATCATCAATGACAATGGCTCCATGATTTCCGCCCTGTCAACCAGATATTTTAGTTCCCTACAACGAAGATCACCCTTAGGATGAGATCGGGACCGTTGATTTCACGATTTAGCGGGACCCACAGAATGTAATGGCTCAGATTTCGTAGCTTTGACTTTAGTTCGCCGGCTCTGATTGTAATTTTTTTGGTTTGGACAGAAAATCTGATGAGGGATCAGTAGCGAAAAAACGGAAGAACGAAAAGGAAGCGGAGAGGTTTCCCTTTTGCCGGTAGAGATCCGAGGAGGAGAGGCCGATCTGTTGTCTCTGTTTCTCTCTCTCGGAGCTTCAGTAATCTGATTCGTCGATGGGTTTGTGGGAAGCTTTTCTCAATTGGCTTCGTAGGTTAGCGCCTTCATCTCTTCTCCTTATTCTCCTTCTTCTTCTTCTTCTTCTTCTTCTTCATCATCATCATCAATTTGTTCTCTACATTCGTTTTGGGTTTTTCACATACTTCTTCTGGATTTTTTTGTCCACGAAATTTCGATTTTGAGTTTCGGTACTGATATTTGAGTTTCTTTGCCCATCCCTGCGGATTCAGTATAGCGGTCGCTGGGAAATTGTCACGATTCTACTGATTTCAATTTTCGTTTCGTAGTTTTAGGAAAAATATGGGACTTCCCCCATGAATGGAAAAAAAAAAAGGACTTCTGGTTAATCGCTCACTTCTTTTTTATGCATTTAATCGCGGGTGGAAAAGCTTTGTGATGGCATAATTCTCGGATAGCGACCAAAACAATCACCCTGAGTTCAGTCTTAATGGAGGCTTAGATTCGTGTTGTCTGATTATATGTAATGCATATTTGATTGGTTTGTGAATCTAATCGAACACTGTTTGCAACAAGGGTCTAAACCTTAGAGCGAAGTGCAGATCAATGCCTTGAACACAGTAGGCTTCTGCTTAAATTCATAGCATGTTGGGTTTGTTCTTTGGTAGTTTTAGAGCAATGGTTCCTGCGGGAGAGACCACTGATGTGAAATGTTGTAGCTATTTCCGGTTGTATTGTGCCTGTTTGTCTGAGTAAAGATGGCTTAGGATAGGATGGCATCAGTCTCTGGCTGTGATGACACCAAAAGCAACAAAGTTACAATTTTTAAGTTTTTTATGTGGCCATGAAATCAAGGATTACGATTTGGTTATCGAGTTTTGGTTATGGCTATATGTCTCTGCAATTCATATAGTCGAAGATGTTTGGGTCGTATGAGGAAAAAGGAGATTATGTTATCTTGCAACGAAGGTTTTTAATTCTAGGCACCAGGGAGAAGAGGGGAACTCTACTCTTACATCACTGGTTCTGTTCAACCTGGGTTTTACTTGAACATTGCAACACACGGCAGGAAAGAATGTGACAGATCTTTCAAGTGAATTAGGTGTACCCATGATGAGAGTTATGATGAACATCTTTTGTCCGTAGAACCTCAGATAGCTTGTTTCGGTCAAGTGCTGTGGATGGTGCATATATGTGTAAAACGAGTTCTTCTACAAAACCCGATCTCCCGAACAATTGCTTGTGTATACAGTCTGCTTATATTTGTAGGCGTATCTTTGACCCGGAAAAGCCATTTGCTTCTGTAGCTTTGAGGGTATTTGTGTTTGCCTATCAGCATGGGCTCACTTGTTTGGTTATGCTTTGTTGTAGCCTCTTTTTCAAGCAAGAAATGGAGCTTTCTTTGATAGGACTTCAGAATGCAGGGAAGACATCACTTGTAAACGTTGTCGCAGTAAGTGTGCTTCCTATAAACTGTTACATAAAAATCCGGTAGATGATTCGGTTTGAGACATGCCAAAACTCAGACTGATGACTGATCCTCACCTCTTTTGTCTTGTTCAGACTGGCGGATACAGTGAGGACATGATCCCTACAGTAAGTGTTACTTATCTCATAAAAAAACTTCTCTTCTTTGGATCTCTCTCAGAGGAAAAAGAAAAAGGATGGTCAATTGTCATACACTCGTAGGTTGGATTCAACATGAGGAAAGTGACAAAGGGAAACGTTACAATAAAACTATGGGATCTTGGTGGTCAACCCAGGTTCCGCAGTATGTGGGAGCGCTACTGCCGTGCTGTTTCTGCAATTGTGTAAGTATCCTAAACATCATCAATGTCTCAAAACTTTTAGTTTCCAAATCTTCAAACAAAAAAGCATTTCATGTCCTAAGTGTTTTTTCAGCTTATGGACCCTTCAAAAGATTTACTTTTTGGAACCCGTTTTTTTCAGATATGTGGTCGATGCTGCTGATCATGACAACCTAAGTGTCTCAAGAAGCGAGCTCCATGACTTGTTGAGCAAACCTTCACTCAGTGGAATCCCTCTCCTGGTCCTTGGGAACAAGATTGATAAGCCTGGAGCTCTGTCCAAAGATTCCTTGACTGAGGAGATGTGAGATTCCTCAAAATATATGTTTCTCTCCTCTCCAAACAAGGCAAAACTGTCCAAATCTGTAACACAATATTCGTGTATTGTTTTTTTTTTTTTTTATTGCAGGGGGCTGAAGTCGATTACAGATAGGGAAGTGTGCTGCTTCATGATCTCTTGCAAGAACTCCACAAACATTGATCAAGTCATCGATTGGCTCGTAAAGCACTCCAAATCTAAGAGCTAAACTGCAAAAAAAAAGGGAAGAAGAAGAAGAACAGAGCTATCTTCTTCATCTTCTCGGTCGTGATGTGGCTGCCTTGTGATGAAAGAACACTTTTTCATGTGAAACATGACTTGTCTTTGTTTTCCTCTGATTCTTTCTTGCCTCTTTTCTGTCTGCTGCTGTTAATTCTCTGTATATTAAATGGATCGTTTCTCTTAACGCTATGAAAAGGACCTTTGGGGTTGAATCTATAAGTTTGTCCCAATTTTGAAAAGAACAAAAAGAATGTGGGGGTGAACTATTAAATATCATGAATCAAAGAAACTCTAATTGCTTCATTAATAATATGATCTAAGGTCTTATTCCTCATGACATAAGTTTCAAGATCGGACAAAGAAGTACATACATGTAGTGTAACGTAAGGCCCCAGCAGAGCATCCACCAAAGACAGGACAGGACAGCATAATCCAAACTGTTGGACGTGCAAGCTGGGGGGATTTACACAGTTACTAACCACACCAAACAAAAAATTTAATGACCAGCAGTTTCGCCATATCGCCAGATGCAAGATTGAAAAACTCAATGATCCAATTTCGAGACAAGGGGGTGTTTTATAAAATGAGAATACCTTGATGATGGCTATAGCTCTGTTGCAGTGAAATGGGCCATGAAGGCTTTTCCCCTTTTTTTTACCATGCATGAGTACGCATCCTATACTTCAAAGCTTTCATCGCTGCCTTTGCAAAAATCTGGGCGGCTTCGGCTTCGGCTTCAGCTTTCTCTGCCTCTCTTGCTGCCTCTTCAGCCTCGGCAATTGCGAATTCAGCCTCTGCTACTGCTCTCGCAGCCGCTACAGCAGCCTCTTGGGCGGTCATGCCCTTTATCTTAAATAGCTCCCCTTCAACCTGGGATTTACTCAGATTTTTTACACCATTCTCTTCCACATTTGGTGTATCTTCCCTGTTTCCTTCCAAGAGTAGTTGAGGAGACCTCTGTCTTGCTCCTGTTGTCACTGAACCTGAAGCGATCCTGTATTTGTGCTTTGTCTGAAAGTATGAACAGAGACAATGATGAACTCAAACTAAGCTCTGTTTCCAGAAGAAAAAGATCGATTTCGTAAAAAAAAACGTCTGACCTTAATTAATGTGCCAATCGATGTCAGATGCTTTAGCCTTACTGCCACATGCCTTTTCATATTGGGCGGCGTCCTGAAATTATCCTGAAATTTTACAGCAGCAAATTCCTTGATTATCATTATATTAATTAAATGGTGCAATCATCCACTGTAAGGTGAATCATGGAAGAAATATAGACAGGACTGCTAAAGCACCTCTATATACAGAAAGATTGATGTTCTGTCAGAACCGCGCGGTTCCTTCAGGCTGGTGATGGCCTCTAAGATGATCTTATCCAAGCTACAAGAATAGAAGACAGCTCAAAACTGTCTTTATGTACTTAATCAAAGATAATTCTTTGTGAGATGCTTGAAGCTAGATCTTAATATGCATGATACTTAACAAATATGCTCTCTGCAATGCATATACCAGCATGATCTTCTTGCCACAAGATATGTCATCAATCAAAGCTGAATCCTCAAACAAGAAGGATGAGATGCCAATAAGTAGCAAGGGACTAACCTTGTAATCGATCTTTTCGAAGCATCATACCGTGGTGATTCACCAGAATTTTCCGGGGGTGATGAATTTATTTTTCCTTCATCATTACCCACAGGAACAATGCTAAGAGCTGTGGAGTTGCCATCCTGCTTAGGAGTTGGTAGAGTTCTTTTAAGCGCGAGTTTGGCCTTCTTCCTAGACCCCCATAATGCCGTCACGCTTATATTTCTCCATTTGTCCTGTTATGCAATAAATTATCAAAATTAAATTTCCTTCTACTTCAAAAGATTAGCCAACAAAGTTGAGAGTCAAGGGGGATCAAAAACTAGAAATCACTAGTAAAATCAGACATTTCCACGAGGAGATTATAATGGAAATTTCAATTGGTTCTTGTCCCAAACTCTATTCGATACCTTGAGATCCACATTCGAACGGGATCTTAGAACTGAACTAAATTCAGAATCTGAGAGAATCGTACGCCACTTTCCAGTTCCATGCTTAAGCACTCCAGCTTTAAGGGCCGCTTCTTCTTCAGCTGTCCACTTCTGCTTGGGGGCACCCATCAACAGTTATCAACAAGACTCCAGAAACAAAAAGTTCTAGCAAGTTGAATTCTTTTCTCTGCAAACAGATAGAGCACTGAAAAACCTTAGAATTGTGAAATGGATGAAGCAAATAAAACGATCACATCAATAAATTAGCACATGCCCAACCATTGGAGATCAAACGCTACGAAATCTTTGGCATAAAAATCAGAGAATTTGACTTAAACCACGTCCATTGGACAATCCATTATGATCCACAAGAACCGATGGTGTTCTACGGAGCCTGATCATCTACTTTGATTAGTTTCATAATTGCGAATGAAAACGTAGAACAACGACAACCATGAAAATCAATTCAACCCAGAAGAATATAATCGACGCCTCAAACAGATCAGAAGAGTGAGAAAATTATGTCCGGACAAGCTCAATTCAAGAAACAACGACAGATATAAGCGGTTAGAATATCAAATCCGAAGTCTTCACGAACCAAGTGCATCAACGACGTAGAAAATCAACAGACAAAAAAGCAAATTTCTGCCAGCGATCAAAATCATAAATAAAATCAGCCGCGACGAAGACATCGCCTCATCAAAATCAAACAGCAAGATCGAAGAAATTCCGATATCGGAATCCACAGAAAATGAACCCTGGAAATGAGGAAGAAGCATGCCTGATCAAGCGGAATCGAACGGGAGTTTCCGAGATAGACACTTGCCGATGAAGCTGAATTCGCATCTGTGCAGTGTCATGGATCAAATTTGAATCTCAGAATTTCGCAGAACCGACGAAGAAAGACCGGAGAGTAGAAGAAAGAATTTCCATAGAAATGAGGAAAAAAAAATACGACCTTTGATTTTTGGTTAATCTTCGCAGGACATAGCTACTGCTAAAGAGTTGAGGGAGCTGCTGCTGAACCCCTTAAGTTTCCCAATATTACGAATTGCACCTCTAAGTCTCCTCAATTTCATTATTTCCCATACGTTTTTTCATCAAAGCAAAGAACACTCGCAGTCATTTAGTTCATAATCCAAATGTAATATTTTCTAATGACTTTGAAACTATTCAAATAAAGACAATAATTTATATAATTTATAATTTACAACCATTTTTTGTATGATATACTTCATCTTTAATATTTCAAACAAATTTGATTATAAATTAACTAAACAATATCATTTAGATACTCTCTTATATTTCACTGAAAAACTTAAAAATTTGCATTTTTATAATTTTTTATACTGTAAAATATAATAATATAATCTGAGTTATATAACAGTGAATAGGTAGAAAGATCCATATTTATATATGTACATAATATTTGTCAGTATATAATTTATAATTTTATTTGATTCATTTTTTATGTTAAAAATCAACAAAAATAAAAGAATTATTGTGGGTGATGTGGAAAAATTGGAGGACAATTAAGGAATTCTTGTGAATGTTTGGACCAATAGGCGAAATTATAAAACTTTGCCGGCTGATTTGGTATTTCTCTGTTTTATTTTTTTTTCCCCCATTCATTGTGTTCTCGAATCACACGAAATCGGAGCTCAGAGGTATTTTTCCCTTTCCGACGAAGATGGCGATGCGTACAACTCAAGGGATTGGCCGTCTCGTCGGCTCTCTCCGCCGCGTGAGTCGGCCTCTCTCCACCGACGCGGTGGTCGAAGCGGAGGTCAAGCGTGGTGAAATCGGTATGGTCTCAGGGATTCCTCAGGAACACCTTGTCCGTAAGGTAAGCATTCTCGTTCTTCGTTCTGTTCTGTTTGTAGTTCGGTAATTAGGGTTTCTGCTGGTCGACCGGTGCAAAAGCCCAAACCGTGATGGGGAATTCGTTGTTGTCGGCGAGACTGAGCTTGATTACGTTCATTGTATTTTCCTGTATTGTGTTCCGATTCGATCCAACAAATGCATTTAGTTGATTGAGATGGTGACCGAAAATGTTCTGCTTGCATGGATTTGGGGTAACAGGTTATAATCTACTCGCCGGCAAGAACTGCTACCCAGCAAGGATCTGGAAAAGTTGGAAAATGGAAGATCAACTTCGTGTCTACCCAAAAGTATGTAATGTCTACTTCGGAATTTTCAAGTTCTCGTTTTGTTCCTATGAGATAATCTTGTGTTTTCTTGTCGATAACATAAACATTTTGGAGTGGAACATGATAACCAGGATTGTTTTTGCTTTACCTATGGAAATCCCATCTAAACATATGCAATTTCTCTTTGATGTAGCATCTTCATCAACTCATTTATTGACACCTAAAGAAATTATCGCTTTTAGCTGCTCTTCTTGTTCTTCATGTGAGCATTTCTTTCGGTTATTTTGAAAGGGTTGTCTTTGGTAATGGGGATTTCTTCTGTTGGATAAGAGTTTATCATCAGTCGATTGTTTTGTATTTGGTAAAGTCCTCACCGTCTTTAGCTTTGAGTGTTAATATCGATTTTGTGGTTTGTAGGTGGGAAAATCCACTGATGGGCTGGACTTCCACAGGGGATCCCTATGCCAATGTTGGCGACTCTGCCCTTTATTTTGATTCCGAGGAAGGAGCAAAGACATTTGCAGAGCGGCATGGCTGGGATTATGTGGTAAGTCATTTCCTTCATTGCATTTATCCTTGGTCACCTTCGCATTTGGTTGTCCTGTGCATATCTCGGATGGCAGTTGATCCATTTTCGACTTCTGAATCATCCATTGTTCTTTTTGAGAGCCCTTGGTACAATTCCGAGTTGTTTTGCTACTTCCTCTACTAAAAAACAGCTTGCTTAACTCATCTCAGGTCAAGAAGCGCCAGACTCCGGTATTGAAGGTTAGTAAGCTCCTTGAGATAATTTTATTGCTTAAAATTATTTGAGGTGTCTTTTTTCCCGATCGCTAAATGGGTGTGATTATACTGATGGATGGAAATCACGACCTTTGGGATTTTTACATGTGGTAGCAAAACTGTCGACGAAATCCGTAGGAACGCTTGAAAGGCATTCTATAGTTTAAGGAGTGTCTCATTGACCTTAAATATACTGCCATGGCTTTCATGCCATGGTTGATCCACCACCACGGAGTCTCATTAACCGGGATCTTCTTGTATAGTATCCCTCTCTCTCTCTCTCTCTCTCTCTCTCTCTCTCTCTCTCTCTCCTGTATGAGAATTCATCTGTTATGGTTTCAGGTGAAGTCATACGCAGACAACTTCAAGTGGAAAGGTGTTCCTCAAACCCCGAACTGATCGGTGAGGAGCAAGCAGCACATAAGACTTGTTTCTTTGGTTATTTAGCTTCTGCCATCTGCTGTTGAACCATTATTCATTGTGTGAGGAATAGTTTTTTTTTTCCATCTCAATAATATGATGACGAAAATCTGTGATCTTAATGGGCCTACTAACAGATAGCCCAATAATGTTCTGTACACAACTTCGGCCCACTGGATTTTGATTTTCTATTTAAATAGATCAATACCAAAGAAAATCATATATTATTTACATAACCGAAGAAACATAATACGAAACAATCTGATAAACAACTGTTTTTATCAGACAAAACTCTATACCGTTGATGGAGAAGTGAAGTATTCTGTCCACGTTGGATTCATATCAGACTAGGTTTGATCTTCTTATATAATACGTGTATGGAAACAGCTCATCAAATATGATATATATATATATATATATAATATGTTATTAACGATGTTTAGAAATGGTGCATTCATGCGTGCAGTGTCTAGATATTAGGGTTTCAGCAAAGATTCAGAATCCGTTGCTCCCAATGCGAATTTCGGATTCCATATTTCCGTGTCCCAAAAGGGCAGCTTTAAATACGACTCTATAATACGTATAAAAAGGCAATATTACAAATTTACCAAAAAAAAATATTATTAAAACACCATTCACGATGAATAACAGCATTTATTAATTTGGTCTATTGCATGGACCAAAAACGGAAATTATGTTATTGCATGTCTACATGTAGCTGTGTTGTGTTCATAAACTGTTTACGATTAATACATATAATTAAATTTATTCGGTCAATGACTTTGTAATTATGAAAGAGATCCGACCAAGTGAGCTGCCAAACGCAATTGAAAAATGGACTACTTTTTCTTTTATTTTGTTTTTCCTCGTTTAAAAATAATATTTTTTTTTACAAGAGAATATAAAAAGTTAAAATATATTCATCTTCCACTAAATAAGGTGAAACCAATGAAAAATGAAAAGAAAAAAGTGCTTATGATTGATTATTCAATAGTAATGAAGACACTTTTTGTTGAAGGGACGACCATTTCCATTTCCATAGATAACTAACGCTATAAATATATTTAACATATTCAAGTTAAAGGAACGACAATAATGATGGGTGATTGATTACGTGCGACCAACCAGCCATGTAAATTAGTTCAATTAAAGAATTGAAAAATATAATTTTTTTTTAAAAATATATATAACTTTGATTGATTTCCATGCAGTTCATATCATCTAAGGCGTTGATTGTCGTGAAAACATCTTAGATTTCGAACTTATTTCGCCATTTATCGATTTACATTTCTTTTTGGGTTTCTTGTTGCCAAGTTATTAATTGGCGCCCGAGAATCTATACATCACTTTTATAAAAGAGTTCATGAGATTTCGACTTCGGGGATGCTGTGCAAGGATGGTCTCCACGCGCCACCCCTTCCGCCGCCGTACCGCCTCCGATACCCGCCGGCGCCGGCAAGGATTCCGGTGGACCCTCCGTCGTCTACTCCGTTTCTTTCCACCTAGGTTTTTTTATATCATTTTTTTTAAGAGAGAAAAAGAAACAAAAGAAGAGACACCTCAGTAGTTGCGGAGTAGTACAGTATAACTTCATGCAAAACTATTTCATATAAAACGTGAAATATGTATATATGCAGGTGATTGGATCTAACGGACGAACATTATAATTATAGCGATGGTGAAATAAAGTAAATTTAGCTTTTAATTAAAACAAAAGCTAAAGAGGACATGCACGATTAACCAAAACACTCGCCATGTCGGATTCCTCTGTCGGGTTCGGATCCGGGTTTGCCCGACCCGATTCGTCGCTCTTCTTCTTCTTCAGCTCAAGCCCTCCTCCTTCGCTCAACAGCTTCCCCAGCTTTACACATTTCTTCGCCGCAAATTCGTTCAGAACCTCTGCATTTATCCCAACAATAAAGATCCGATTTTTAGAGGGAAAAAAAAAAGCGATAATTTTTGTTTCATCTGAGATTTGCGTGATGAGGAAAAGGACCTTCGAAGCTGACGAGACGGTAGACGTGTCCGAGGAGGAGAGTGTCGTCGGGTCTGAGAAGCTTGAGATGCTTCAATGGCGAACCGTTGTCGTTCCTCAAGGTGGGCGACGTGACAACCATGGCTACGTAGTGACCAGGGTGCGAGCCCATGACGTCACTCGCGGTCACCGACCAGTATACCCTCTCAACCCTCTTCTCCGCCGGGTTGTGAATCACGACCGTCGCCGTCTCCGCCGCTTGGCAATTCCCCATTTCCGTTCTGTAAACTCGATCAGAAGGAAGGATCCGAGAAATGGAGAGAAGGAAGAAAATCACGTACGTTAATGGAAAAAGTGGGTGTGATTATACTGATGGATGGAAATCACGACCTTTGGGATTTTTACATGTGGTAGAACCCCGAGGGGAAAATATCTATGATTTAATTTTAAAATAAAGAAATTGGAAAAAAGATGGTCGAAATATAGAAACTTGGGAAATGGAATCATATATATACATATAAATCTCTGTTATTTGAATTATTTTTAATGTTTTTTCTTTAAATAAAATGAAATAATAAAGGAATGAAGTAGATTGCGCCGGAGATTTATGTGTGCATCCTCTGTGGAAGCGTGTGAAGTCTGCAAACAGAGGTGTGTGGGGCCCATGAAGGGTGATATTAAATCTCATATTTATTTTTTACTTATGACCACACAATAAAATCATACGAATTTATGACCGCGAGAAAGGCCATCGGGATGTGAATCCAAGTAAGCGATGTCTCAGACCATATCATTTAACGTATACTATCCTACGTATTTGTACGGTTCGAGTGTTTTTGAAATTTGGAATGTCATAGAATTATGATCATTACAACATATAAACATAATACGTACACGTGTCACATAAAACGTGATAAAATAAATTGAACAAAGACACGAAATCGTAGTTGCGAATGAAAAGCACAATAAATACGGGTGCAAAAACACTAAACACGAGAGATTTTGGTGGAGACCCATTTTCTAGATGCGTGTCAAAACGGTTCATTCATCATTGATGATGTCTTTCTTAATATCGTGTCTTTGTTGGACAGAACTCCACTATGTATGTATACATGTTCATGTGTATATATGTATATATGCCTGTGTGTGGGTCCGCGTGCATGTATGGGCCCAATATATGAGGTGTCCAGCTCGACTAAGCCCTCCTTTTTCAGATTTGATGCGGCAATTGGGCTTTTATTAAATGGGTAGGTCCAATTGTTGGCGGGTTGTATCTAAACCCAATCCATTAACATAGTAGAATTCATTGGTTGGGTTTCAGTTGAGCCCATTAAGTTATTGGGCTTCCAATCAACGACAAGGCCCAAATAACAGAGACCAGATTCTGAGATCAACACGCATCAATTGGCTCACACACTGCAAAGGCAGAGGCTGTGATGAATGAGAAGTGTCTTTCCCGGTTTCCCCCGTCAAATCAAAGCATTGAAGCTGGTTTTTTGCCACTTTTCCAATCTCCGCTTCTTCCTTTTCGCCACCCGATGCTTTGAATCTTCAAGATCGTAATCTGTGAAGGAGATTTCAGCACACTGAAAGTTCAAATGAGAGGGCTGTTCAGTTCTAAGGCAAGCGTTGTTTGATTTGACGACATTTGCAAAAGGAGCAAAGGTGGGGGAAACTAAAAAAGTTTCTGAACACAGAAACATCTTCTTGAAAGGGAAACGTAGAAAGACACCTAATCTTGAGTTTCCGAGATCAAGGGTTGAACCGGTTTGGAGCTCCCTTTGGCCATCTTCTTCGCCACCCTCCTCTTCTTCACTCTGCCCATCTTATCTCTGCCGCAAAATTTCTCTGCAAAACAGATTTCGGATGGATAGCTACATTAGAAACAATCGAAAACCCTAGAATCTAGTTGTGTAAGGGACAAAAGATGCAACTTGACTCAGTACTCACACATCAGAAACATATCATACCCTTTTGAGGACACCTTGTTTTAGGTAAAACAATCGTCTTGGTGCGAAAATTTTGAAATAATTTGCTCAAAGATGATACCTTTGTTCTCTGGGGCATTTCCTCGAACACATTGTTCTCCGCTTCCACCCCCGCCGATTTCAGAGTCACTATGCGTATCTGCGACTGTTCTCCGAGTTTCAGCCGTTGTTGACGGCAGCAAAGGTCCGATCAGCTTCCCTCGGCGGACCGCCTCCTCTTTGAGCATCTTCTTCCTCAACCTCTTCCTCTGCGCTCGGCTCGGTTTTTGTGCCGTATTCAATTCGTCTCCAACGCCATCCTCGTATTCGTCTTCGCTATCTGACGAACCGATGCTCACGTAATCTTCTCAAAATTCGACGGAACAACATAACTTCGACTGTCACTTCCTCGGAAAATTCAAGAAACAATTCAACGAAATCTCAATATCCCATCACCGTACCTGGATCTAAGAATGTTACGTCGAGCGGTTTGTCGTCTACCACCGGCTAAAAATTGAAACCCCGATTAACAGTGACGTAAAGTGTTAACAATTCGGAACAAGGAAATCAAATCGGATAGAAGAAGAGCAAACAGAATCGGATATGGGAGATACCGGTGGCGGAGAAGACGGAGGAGGATAGAGAGTGCGAAGAAGGGCTTCGTGGAACTCTCGCCGTTTTTCTTCCCGGCGCTTCATCGGAAAGTTTTAGCCTTTCAGGGTCGATTGCCAAGATCGCAACTTTAGGGTGGGGCTTTCTGATATTTTCTTTTAAACCCCAAACGTTTATGATATTCCTACAACTGCCTCGAAAATCTTTAATTGATCATTTTTTATTTTGTGATTAGATATGCAACGTGCTAAATTACTAGTAACGATCCAAATAATCTGTTAATATTATACTAACCGGAACCGTGCTTGCGTCAAAATATTATTATTATTATTATTATTATTATTATTATTATTATTATTATTATTATTATTATTATTATTATTATTATTATCTCGTCTACATATAGATGTTAAGTACCCTATTTTCAAATACGATTTTATATTTTATGTTAATGTCTTGCAATAACTCAAAATGAATGATATTTTAAAGATATCAACCTCCTAACTAACATAAAATATTAAAGATCGAAGTATTACAGTCGATGTCATCCATTTATCTAGTTACAGAAGTTATCTAATATTTTATTTGTTTTTATTATAAATATCGCTTCCCCGCGTATTAAAGAATGTAATAAATTATTCAAATATCGCAAATATAATTGTATTAAAATTGTAAAGCCGACATCTCAACAGTCACGAATATCATAATAAATAGCCATATTTTATGATTTATAAAAAAAATAATAGGATCGAGAGATTCCGAGTTGGACAGAGCACCTAAGTCCGATCATATAAAATAGAGGACTTGCAAGTTCCAAATATGCATAATCTCAAGACGACCACGTCGTCACGCTACACGACAAAAACTCTTGTTCCTGTCTTACTTACGTCTGACGTGTAAATTTTGTATAATATCCACTTGCATTGGAAACACATTTATTTATCACGAGCACGACATTGACCAATATATACACATATACACACGCTTATACACGGACTATGAGATGGTAGGTGATTAAATTGTATGATGTATGCTTACATACATGCACATCCCCCGGAAGCTAATTATAGGGTTGACCCAAATATTATCATCCCCACTATTAAGCTTGAATTTCAAACCTACCTTTTAATCTACGACGGTTATTGAATAAGAAAAATAAGGAAAAAGCAATAGATAAGCTGAAAATAGAAAAATAAGAATTTACTAAAATTTCTATTAATATTATTTGTCAAACCTGTCATATACACACTGTAAAATCCACATTTCTTGTAACAATAGAGGGGAAAATAAGAAAATAAGGGACTAATCATATCATATGATTATATATTCTTAAAAATACAATGTTTAAAGTCTTCTTCGACGAACTCGCAAGGCTTATCCTCATCGATCCGTCCCATCATTGTGCTGCCACAATTCATCCGGAGATCCAACGGTGACGGTCGTCTCGTCTTACCGGCCGTTGTTCCGCCACGTGTACGAGCGGATGCAGCCCGGAGGAGTTCCCGGAATTCTTCCTCGCCGCCACGTCGGTGTCTCGATGACGTCATCACCAGCGAGTTAAAGGTGAAGCTACGTGGCAAAGCCGTGGGGGTTTCGCTGACTTGGTAGCCTCCGGCGGGAAGACCGAACCCTCCGCTGCCACCGTGGACGAATCCGGCGGAGAATGACGTCATGCTCCGGATGTATGCGTCACGCGCCATGACCAAGATCCGGAACGGGGCTTTCACGATTAGCCTTGTGAAGCCTCTCTGTTTCTTGCTGTTAACTCTTTCTCTCATGATTCTGTTCTGAAAAATATATAAATATATATATGTGTATGTGTGTATATGTATATATAACAAACAAAACACCACTTTATATGAGATTCTGTGTCTATGAGATGAGAAGGAGATAGAGGAAGAAGATGCTCGAGGAGACAAGAGAGTATAGAAGAGAAGATGCCGCCCATGGACTTTATGGGTTTTATTTATAAATAATTTATTTATTTTACTAAAAATGGATATTTTAAATTTTCCGGTTGGATGTTTACAGGTTGCGGGTTATTGTATTTGAGTGTATTCCTTAAAAAAGTCAAAATATGTGGTTTCAAACCATAACCTATGGGTCGTTCAGCAGTTTCAAAATTCACAAAACAAACTTAGATTATGCAACAATCAATCTCATCTCAGTTACAAAAATATTCAGGGATCTCTATGTTAATCCTGATTTTATTATCATGATAATGTATAATAATGATCTTATATTTGTCATATGCGAACTAAATGTTTGAAAATTTTCATATTATTCACTAGGAAAAAAGAAGCAAAAATTAACACAAATGTGCATTTATCCATTTATTTATTTGTATGGCGTAATTATGTTTTGATAGTGACAATATTGGTCAAAATGCCCATTAACCGGGTTAGCGCATAAAATAAAATAAAATAAATAAATGGATAAATAATCAAAATAAAAGCGAAATATTAGTGATAAGATTTATAGAAATTGGATATTTTTCAGAGTGTCGTCGTTGAAACGTAACAAGCTTTTTCTTTGGATAAAGAAAAAGGGCACCAAAGGATGACTCAGATTTCATTGAAAGGATAGCGATTGCAATTGATCGAGATTGTTTCATATATATATATATATATATTATTGTATTAAATTCTTATAAAAAAATATTTAAATAAATTAATCATCGCAAGTTGTGGTATCACATCACATCCACGCCCAAAAAAAAAACCAGCATATTTATCTTAAACGCAGACGGGAAATAAGCGAACATATTATAATGTGAGAAACTTAACAATTAGCATTCGCACACGTATATCACACATATGTAAAGACAGACATGAATTAAATAGCCACCATATATTTTAATTTGGTAAAAGTCGGACCAATTCATAACAATTATATAACGATTTGTTAAATGGGAGACACTGCGAGTCCGTGAATTCAGTGGGGCCCATTAGTTATTCAATGTGTCGGCCCATTTAATTATACCCAACAAATATTAAGCCCAATAAACTACGTAAAAGCCCATAACTGGAAAGAGTATGGAAAATCATCTTCATTGTCTTGTCCCCTCTTCTTGGCTCAGGATTTCTGACATTCTTTCGGGTTTCTCTCATCTAATCTGTTATCTCGTTAAAGGCCTTGCGATAATGTCAATGATCCAAATTCACATATGTGCGCGTGGCTTTGCGTATTTGTCACATGTTGATGTGAAAGCTTCGAGATTTCTGCTTGCGCACAATCGTCGTTTTCTCGTCAGGGGAAGAACCGAGAGATGAGCCTGGGTTCAGGCCCAATTGATATGAACGGGAAGATGGGCTGGGTTGAATCTGAATCTATTAGGCTTTTAAGGCCCAATTTATATGAATGCGGTTGCAAACGACGTCGTATCATCTTTCGTGGTATATAAGAGAATAAGAGATGTATCCACAGGCTGTTTTGACGTGTGAAAAGGTCAGGTTCGCAACTTGCGAGGGATCCAGAAATGGCGTGGCTTGCGAGATCGATTGCGAACTCTCTCAAGCTCGATGAGGATGAGGATGATGAAAATGGTGAAAATCAACGGACTAAGACCACCTCCGGTGAGAAACAACCGCCGTCGCCGTTGCAATCTCAGTCTCCCCGAGGTGTGAAGGAGGACCTCTCTGAGCTTACCAAGACTTTGAGAAGCCAATTCTGGGGCGTGGCCTCCTTCCTCGCACCTCCTCCTACTTCTTCGGATCGTCCGGATCATGTGGAGGAGAATCGGACTTCTTCGGATCTCGAGGGAGGAGAAGAGGATCTGATAGCTGGGATCAGGAACGACTTCGCGGAGATTGGCGGGAGATTCAAGACGGGGATCTCGAAGATCTCCGGAAACATCGCGGTGTCGGAGTTCACAAAGATCGCCTCGAATTTCCTGCAGTTGGGATCGGAGGATGCAAATCTGAATGAATATAGTGTTGGAGATGTTGTCGGTGTGACAGAGGAAGTGGTCGCCTTTGCAAGGGATATCGCGATGCATCCTGAGACTTGGTTGGATTTCCCCTTGCCTGACGAGGACGACAACTTCGATGGTAAGATTCATCGCGATTCATCTGAACCTCTAACCAGATCTTGCTGACTTTGTTAGTTTATGAAAATGGAGTAACTGATCTCTGGGTAGCGTTTGCAGCGTACATCCAACTTCAGTTCATTCGATTTCGTGACTTTTCGTTGTGGTAACAAAGGGTGTTTTCAGTGTTAGCCTACTGGTTGTGTGTGAAATAGATCTTTCGTTGATCGATGGAGTCCTCTTTTTTTTGGTCTTGACATTCATCTCGCATGGTGTTGTCTGATTTGAGCTCTGTTCTTCTAGAAATGTTGTGTCTGTGTATTCTTCCCAATAGTTTTGGATGCTGTTATTGGAATGATCTCATAACCATGGCGCCTTGGGAAAATAGATGTTCATCATTCTGAAACTTACTTCCTTGTACTTTGTTTTTCATCAAGTATCTCTGCAACTCAAATTTTTTTTTTCAGACTTTGAATTGAATGATGCTCAACAAGAACATGCTCTGGTTGTGGAAAGACTGGCACCGGCAATAGCAGCTTTGAGGGTTGAACTTTGCCCAGCTTACATGAGTGAAGGTTGCTTCTGGAGGATATACTTTGTACTTCTGCATCCTAAAATCAGTAAACACGATGCCTTGCTTCTTTCAACTCCTCAGGTAACAACCTTTACTGTTCTTTGCCTCTGTTCTCAAGTTTATAGTTTTCACATTCTCAAGCCCACCCTCGTAAGATGTGAGTCATACCCATTGAGGAGATCCTCTTGTCATCCGTATTAATCCGAATCTATTACTTATTGCTTCTTTTGAATAGAGGGAAAATATGATCTTGTGTCTAATATCACTTGATTGAGATTTAGCTCTTAATCTTCCCCTGCAATTCTAGGCTGTAACTCCGATTTCCCATTGCTAACTTTTGTGTCTATGTGCATGAAGGTGCTCGAAGCAAGGGCGTTGTTATCCCACGAACTGCAGAAAAGAAGCAAGGCAACGGCAGAGAATTCAGGAACTGCTGTCGAGGAAGCTCCAGAGAATGTGGAAAAGCTGTCTGGGGATTCTAAACCAGTCGCATCTGAGACAGTTCCAATCAAAACCATTACTGCAGAAACAACCCATTACGTGGAGACGGAGAAGCACCCAGTTTATAGCAAGGAAATACAGTTTGTGGACAAGTCCGTCATCGAGGAAAAACCCACAGTGATGCATGATGGTAAGCCAATGGACCACCCATCGGTTGCTTCATATGGGGTTACAGACATTGAAGTCGAGGACGAGGCAGATGATTGGCTGAAAGATGAAGAGGAAGACATTTCCCGATCCATCAGGACAGGCGGAACCACCATGCCGCTCGGATACGATGAAGATGTGTCGTTCAGTGATCTAGAGGAAGAAGACGACGAGGACGGAGGAGATGTGCCCGTAAGTTACAAGAAGGTGGGATCAAGCGAGAAAGAACAAGAAATCAAATGAGATGGCTTGACATGACACCTATCCTTTTCAGATCGTTGAATGCTTTATTTAGATGCGTTTCCGACATGGATCTTCCCGGCAAGAATCAAAGAACCGCTGTGAATAGTTCTGTATACGGTTTCATTGGACGTTGAATGGTTGTATATAAGTAGACGTATGATGAAGATGATGCTGGCCTCGTTTCATTTCTGTATTCCCGTCCGACGAATCTTTGTGTGCTTCCCAAATTATAAAAATCGTACCTTTTCCTTCCCAGATGGATTTTATCTTTCGGATGGAACTCCATAAGCTTATTATTTACCACGTGGAAATAATGTACAAGAGAGCCCTAACAAAATGACATAACTTTTTTTTTCACGATTTTATGGAGGTGAAGTTGCCGGACAATCTCTCTAGCTGCGACCACAACAAGCTCCCGATCGAGAACTTGGCCTTTTCTTGTCGGTTCACTTCACTGTTTCCGACACCAGAAGATGAAGCCATCTTCATCGTCCAACCCGCCAGCGATTTTGTCGCCGCCGGCATGACCGATCCGCCCAATTGCTGTATCAAAGACTTCACGGCCTTTGAGTCAGCATCCTGACCCGTCATGTCCACGACTTGGATGGATCCAACCGTGGTCTCGCCCCCGGTGTTGAACTCTGCTCTCGTAATGGACAGACCGTTTTCTCTCACGGCTCGTGTTATGTCCGATATAACTCCCATCCTGTCCTTTGTACGGACCTTCAGCTCCACTCCCTGCAATCATATATATATATATATATATGATCGTTGTTTTCCGTATCATTGCTTATCTCGAATACCGATAAAATGATCGCTACAAGAAATGGGTATTACTCGTGAAGTTCGTCGCTCTATCGCAGCGATCAAACATTGCATCAACCGTTGTCTCTCGCTCTCTGTATCCAACGTACTTCCATTCTTCTGCCTTATGAAATACTCCTGCATGCATGCATGCATATTTCAACCCAATTCTCTTACTAAAAAACAAAACCAAAAGTATTATTATTTCAATAATTTTGTCCCGATCGAATCTTTTTCTTTACCTGGTCGGCCATCGGGCCGTTAGATCCGACCGCTGCATGAAAAACGACGTAGTTCAACTCCGTGAACGCGCACACAGTGTCGAACAACAGTTTCGGTCTATCTCTACACCTGACGTTAACCATGGAGTACCCTTTCTCCTTGCACGCCTCCCCCGCCACGTGTACCTTCCCGCAGCCGCAGCCACGGCGGTCGCAGCCACGGCACTTCTCGTAGTCACGGTCACCGTGCATGATCTGGTGGAGCCGCCGCTCAGTGTGGGTCCAACCGGCCAGAGCTCCCGGCGGAGCCACCACCTTCACCGTCCTCGTCTCGCCTTCCGCGTGATGGGCCTCGACCACGTTCTCTAGCTGTTCCTTGACGAGGCCCAGTTGGTTGATGCCCCCCCCGCCGATCCCTTCTTCGACGTAGATAACCATTGCGGCTCGGTCGTGATGTGTCCACGCCATGGCTGCTGTCACGTGGCATCCCAAATCGGACAGCGCGGCAGAGATTTCGGAGAGCAGACCGGGCCGGTCCGTTCCGGTTATCTCGAACGCCGTGTGTTGCGTGGACACGTGTCGTTGTTGCGCTTCCCGGTTTAGATTGCTCTGCATCTCCTTCGTTATCCCTCCCGTTCTACTCGCGCAAATCGCCTGCGATTAAATAAATAATTATGTACATATCTAATAAGCCGGTCCAACAAATAACGAAATTAGTATTGAAATAAACGATTATGAAATTGTAACGGGGGAAAGAGAAATGCACTTGTTGAATGTAGAGAATAAGGCTTCGATCGGTGAGCTTGTTCCCGAGCTGATCCGTCACGTGGAAAACTGGAAAAGACAAGGCCAAAGTTTATCAATCCATTGAATGTTACATCTATATAAATGGTTATAAACTTAAATTAAATCACACGAAACCCACCGTCCATGAACCATCCACCGTCCGAGGAGATGTATGACTTAGAGATAACGAGATCGAGATCGGCTAGAACTTGGACCATGTCCAGTAGTACCCCGTACTTGTTCACGCTGTCCACCTGTTCAATAAAATTCAATCTTTTATAACCATTAAAATCTTACATTCACATTAATGTTTTCGTGCTTTTGGTTACAGCAACAAAAAATAAATGAGAAATCGTTTTTGCTTTGGTGGCTATGGCGGCCATTATAAAAACAGTTGACGCTTCTAATATCCAAAATATCGGAACATATAATAAAATACATCACGGGTCCGTGGATATGTGGAGTTTTGTGGCGTACACATAAATATCCACCACCCAACTTGTGATATATTTAAATATTAAATTTAAAAAAAAAACGCAATTATGAATAACCCCGTTAGTGATTAATTAGCAAACAATCATATCATTGAGTTTTGACCGACCTTAACAAGTGTGCATTTTGGATCTGAGTCATTGTCTATACAGACCCTGTAAAAAACACAACAACAACAACAATAATAATAATAATAATAATAATGATAATGATAATAACAACAACAATAATAATAATAATAAACCTGGGAGGATGAATTCTGTCGATGAGTGATTGGAGCTCTGAATCAAAGTGAGGATGATAATAAGTCATCTCCATCATCTTCTCTATATATTCACAATCCGTTAATCGTATTAGCGTCTATATCAAGATGAAGAAGAAGATCAATAACCGGTGGATTTACGGCTATTTATAGTATTAGTACATAATTAAATCACACGCGGAAAACGATATTTAAACAAGTCCACGACAAAACCACGTTTTTTTTTAATATATAAATGCCGTGTTAATAAGACAGATAATAATATCATAAGCCCCCGGATCTAATTAATTATAAAATTAAATATAATAAAATATTGACCACGCCGACTTGAAATTCAAATCAAATACGATGTTTTTTCTTGGCTTTCTGGGTTTTCTTGTTCTTGAATTTCAAGTTATAACAAAATCGTTAGCGATTTTGTTGGTTCCTTTTTCAAATTGGGTTTTTTACTAATTTAAGTGCGGATAATGAAATTTCCTCATCCGATCGATTAAACACGGAGAAAGAACCTCGCATTGACGAGAGAATTGAAAAAAAAAATGTTTTTTTTTTATATGAACAGAAGAAACGAAACAGTAATCAATCAACCATAGAATTCAAATCAAGGAAAAGAAAAAACATAAAGAAAAAAAAACAAGAATTTATCAGTTTGAGTTCGAAGCCATGTGGAAGAATACGATCGAACAGAACAATTCACCAACTATATATATATATATATA